TTTGAGTCAGAGGTGAGTGCGGTAAAAGTGTCTACTAGACTACGAGACTACGAGTGCCGCTCGAGTCTGCTACGGAAAGCGTTCGAATGCGGAGCGAGAGCTCCATCCGTCCGTCCGCTACGGAGGCACGGTAGCACTGGCTACGGGGCGCTACGAACGAGCCAGCCGCTACAGCGCGGATTATTACTCGCGTAGCACAGATTCCACAATCAATAGCTGTAGATTTAAGTTCTTTTATACAATTAAAGTATTTCATTTCAATCAAACAACATATTTGATGAACAAAACAATTGTTTGAAAATTATACCGAAATCATCGACACAGATTGTAACGTTAATAATTCGGGAGCGTTTTCAGAAATAATGGACAGATAAATAAATTGAAATGTATAAATTTTAATAAGTAACGAGTAAATAAAGGCACTCAGAGGAAAATCTGTTCCGGTCCGAAACAATTTCGAGGGAGCTTTTCCTGACTGTTCGACTCGGTCTTTCCGTTAAAATTAAAATGCTGAAATCATTTGAGTTTTGATTTCATGGTATCGTTTAGAAATGTTTGAATTAGGACAACGGTTTGAGAGAATTGTTTTGTTATAAACGTTTGACGAAGTTCAAACATAATTAACATAATTATCGAGAAAAAATGTATTCGTTATTAATCATGTTCGGTATTATGGCACCAATATCGTTGAATGGCGCTGCTTACATAACATACAGGATAATCTTTTAGGATATAGGATAAACTTTTTTAAATTAAAAATTGCCAGTTTACAAGTATATTCCTATTATCATCGACACATTGGGTAATAATTGGCCTCTTTTGAAATTCGTTCATCGAGAGAGAAATTATATTTCAAAACTAAGTTTTTAAAATATTTTCAATTTTCCAAGAGCCTCATCAAAATGTTTAATTTCACATAATTCCACACATTTCAGAGACAAAATGTTTTTCAAAATATCTCAATTATTTTACACGGCAATGCTTTTCAGAGCTACGTTTAGAAATCTATATTTAATGCATGGAGGATAAACTCACTAACGACTGCAAACTAAAGTTTCAGTTGGGAAATAGCAGATATGAAAAAGCATAGATGCACTCAACAAAACTAATATAGGTAATAATAATGATAAAGGCAATCATTTTAATGATTAGAATTAAAATGTATCATTTAAAACCTTTCAATTAGTATAACGGATGTATTTTTAAAATTAATAAATCTTAATATTTAGAAGGTAGTTAAGTATCTCTTTAACTATGTAATAACAAAACAATTGGTTAATACGTAAGACTTTTAATTTATAAATCTCTTCACGGAGCTAAGTCCTACTAAATACAGCCTAGCGTCTCCTCCTACATTTTAATCTAGTGTCACCTCTTAGTACCTACATTCACGAATATTACAAATATTTTATTATTTATTTCACCATTTCAACGACTGGCACATAACAAAACTTTTCGCTATTCTGCTAAAAAATATATTTAAGTAGAGGAAGGGGTGGTAATTTGGAACCCTACTTTGTTTTTTGAATATTTAAATAAAACTATTTGACTAATCATCTTGAAAAGTGGCTTTGTATACTTCAAAACTTATTAGCTATTATATTAGGAACGATTAACAAAATAAAACAACTCGTTATAGGAAATAATTACCTTTATTGACTAAATGAAAAAAACGTGTTTTGAGTTTTGGTGCGGGTATTACGGAACCCGGGTTCCAAATTACAAGTATGAAACAAATTTATTTACAAAAATCACAAATATAATATTCTTTTTCGCATCCTGAGCAATCAATATGTGCCCACAACTCACAAGATTGGCACTGAATCCAAATTTCACCCTGTTGATTATTTGAGAAACATTCTGAACAAAAAATACAATAATCATCGTGGCTTGTGGGCTGAGCTTGTGTGGTATAATTTTCTGCCACCGCAGTTTTACCTGAAGAAACAGATGACATCGTAGTATCCGAAGAGGAAGATTCCCGCCTGTTCGAGCGAGGTCTAGAAGGGTTTGGCATACCCTGCCTTCCACTACGTCCCCGAACTCTTCCTCGACCTTTTCCTCTCTGCGCTATAGATTTGATTGACTCCTCAAGTTGGTGTTTGTAGGGAGATCCAGTCAGCAAAGTAGCGGCAGGTAAATTGGAACCCGGTTCCATACTACCCGCACCTATAGGGTTCCAAATTCAAAATCTAACTAAATTAACAAATAACGAAGAAAATCACATCTAGTTAAAAGATACATTAAAACTTACCTTCGACAATCTAAACTAGTCTGTATGGACTCCCTATAACACGCACAGAATTTGTCTTATACTAAAACAAACACTTTTTACAGTTTTTCCAACGGAGAGAAAAAAACGTTTGATTTTGACGTGAAATGTCAGCTGTGTGTGACAGATCAAATTCGATGCAAAATTGACGTTATTGGTAGCAAATATGCTCTATGGTATCAGTACAACGTAGTTACATAGTTTTTTGGTAGATGTCACTGCCTGTCTCTGTGATATTAAAGGGTTCCAAAAAAACAGCAGGGTCCATATTACCACCCCTTCCTCTATTTATAGACCAGGCTGATTTCAGCAATCATTATATTTCAATAAAAATGCTGATACGTAAGGTATATTTATTTCATTAGGTTCGTGTAGGCTCACAGACCTTCCTAGAAATGCTCGTTAATGACCAAGCGATAATATTTTATGCCGAAATAAAAGGAATCTATATTATTTTCAGTAAAAGTTAACTTACATTAAATAGTGATCTACTAAAACCTACTTCAATGTTGTTATGGGGGACTTCAACGCGAAGCTGGGCATGCGAAGTGATGATGAGCTGAGAGTGGGGCAATTTGGATGTGGGCAACGGAACCCCAGGGGGCAGAGGCTGACCGAATTTCTGGAGAAGGAAGACCTCTTTGCGATGAACTCCTTCTTCCAGAAGCCGCCTCATAGGAAGTGGACATGGATGAGTCCCGATGGTTCTACGAAAAATGAGATTGACTTCATCATGACCACAAAGCGACGAATATTTAGTGATGTCTCCGTGATCAACAGGGTGAAAACCGGTAGTGATCACTGAATGGTCAGAGGCATACTAAATATTAACGTCAAGCTAGAAAGGTCCCGTCTGATGAAGTCTACCAATCGATCAACATGGAAAGCATTGGGGGAGGCCTATGTTCAGCAGTGGACGTCCTGTGGCTGAAATGATGATGATGATGATGATGATGATGATGATGATGATGAAGTCTACGCTCCGACCCTACAATTCCCATATCCACTGCCCCGAGAGCTTTCAGCTCGAGTTGACAAATCGCTTTGCATGCCTGGAAAACTGCGAGTCAGTGAATGAGATCAATAACGGGTTCGTAGAAACTGTCCAGGCGGCTGGGCTTAAATTCTTTAGACCTCGTCGTAAAGACAAGCCGCAAAAGCTCACCGACCACACCCTCAACCTCATGGCAGAACGACGTGCAATGACGCTGCAGTCCTCCGTTGACGCTACGGCATATAGGCAGCTCAATAGACAGATAAGGAAGTCCTTGCGACATGATATTCGCTACTTTAATTATAGTCGTGAAAGAAAAGTGGTTCACAATGTGTTAAAGTATTTGTCGAAGAGAAATACTAAGGGTTCGGACAATATTTTCATTGAATAATGTGTCCGACAAAGGTTGTCAAATTGACTGACATGTTTATCGTATAGTACAGTCAACTATGAAAATTAGCTGTGGTTTGTTTCAACTACCCATTTTAAAGCTTTTTGTCACTTTGTAAGTATTGAATTTTATGGAATTGGGAAAGAAGTACCGAGTTTGAAGCGTTCATGAGCAGACATTGTAGTTAAATATTCAAGTTCAGAATTTGATTATTGATGAATAATAATAAAATCCTACTTGCTCGATTGATGGTTTCATTTAATTTATTTAAACCAGTTTACCTATGATATAATATGTTTTTGTTAATTTATGAAAATATTAAATAAGCCTATAATCCTTAATCCTGATACGTAAAGTTAGCCTATTAATTTAATACAGGTACGACTGTACCCAGTGTTGCACTATCAAATGCAATTGAAGCGCCTCTATGCCAGGGTTTTTATGTTCCTGGTCAGGCTATAGGTAAGTATTTTGAAAGCATTTAAATAATTCAATACATACGATCTATACAATTTCGTTGGCGAAATAAAATTAAATGGATTACTTTCACACCATTATTTTATTTTTCTCTGCATTGTGAGATCTGTGATCCTAAAGCCCTAACCCTCAACTACAGAGGTTTAGTGCTGAAAAATCGTTTGTGACATTTATGAGGTAGATATAGATCCAAAATACTGAACTGTCCTATCTGTGACATTGACAGTGGGGCGCCACCGTCAATACCGGATCGCTGGTTCCGATTTTTGCCATTTTGGAAACTATGTAGTTGAACGATGGTGGCGTCCCCCTGTCAATGAATTTGGTAAGACAATTTAATTTAGGTCATCTACTTTTGTAAATTGTAACATCTATTGTGTTTATCTATTGTTTTATTTTTTAACCAATTTTTTGCACCGCTTTTAATGCCACATTTTATACGAGTAGAATAGTATCAGCTCAGAAGATGTTATTAATGATTATAGTTTTTGTGGGGTTATTCTGGCAAAAAAGTCTGTAGAGTCCATAGAAGTCTAAAACCTCCGCAATCTTAATCTTAATCGATCTTTAGCGAGATTTTATGGCACATTATGGCTTCCTCTAAATCTTTGCCCAAGCTAAATAAATTACTCTAATGTAGGATCACGGAATTTCCAAAAGAAATGTCTGGATGGGTGGGATTTTGGTGAAAGGTAGCAGAAAGAATGACTTAGGACTTAGATCAAAACAATTTGAATAAAAAACGAATTATATTCAATCAGTAAGACTATTACATTATGAAAATATCACAATTTGATTGTGTTTAATAAATAATATACAAATATTTCCCACTTTTGCATTTGTCTGAAAATAAGATATTTGTTACAAAAAAATATAAAGTAATCTACGTTTATATAGATTAAACAAATTTATCCTTTCGGATATAGGTAGGAAAATATTATAAAAATAATTGGCACTGATTTTACAAAAGTTGTGTTTGTATGTATATTGCAACAAATTATTAAGTTTGAATAACAATGGATGTCGTTGGTGTAGATATCACAAAATTACAATATTTCTAAAGAAGTCTTTTTCAGTTTTATTTTTTTAAGAATTTACTTTGTCATTTGTATTTATTTATTTACATCATCAAAACAACAATAATTTTCAAACATTAAAGATGATACCAATTAATAAATGCCCAAAAGATTTCTACTTAAATTAGATCATCATACCTCCAACTTAATTTTTAGGAATTACCCAATAATATCTAAAAGAAATAATTAAAAGCACTTAAATTTACTCTCTTAGGTATTTGAATTTTTGGAATGATGCTTGTTTATAAAAATAAATTATTTTATGTGTACTAAAGACTAATAAATTCACTCTTCTTTTTCGGGGTTAATCACTGTTGTGACTTTCTTGTCCTCCTCGGGGATGTTTTTGTCTCCCCATCCCCATACGGGGTGGCTGCCATCACCAGTTCTCGTTATCCTCTTTTGGATGACGTCAGTGGATACCGTCTTAAGATCGTAAGCCCAGCCGATGGTGGCCATAGTATCGATGAAGAATTTGGTGATGTTAAACGTGTAGTTTCCCAGTTCAGCCGCTTTGTAATCCCAGGGGAAAGTGTGGTGGTAGTTGTGGAAGCCTTCGCCGATGGCAGCCACGGATACAACTTTGGTTTCTACGGGGTTGATGTGTCTGTCGTACGGCTTGTCACCCCACAAGTGGGCCCAGGAGTTGACCAGCCAGGTTCCGTTCAGGACTGCAACGTAGCGGAAGACTGCACAAGTGAAGTAGCCATTCCATACAGTTTCTCCCCATAGAGCTGGCACCACAGATGGCATGATGAAGCAGATTAGAGGCATCAGGTACATGTAGTATCTGAAACAAATAGCATTTTTAAAAAAAAATATTTTAACCAATCCATTTTTGCCCGTTTAGGCCATACCAGACTTTGTTAAACCAACTGCAAAACCGCGACGATTACTACCCAATATAGAGTTCTTTATAAACACGTTACACGTAAGAATTAAACGCTTTTTTTGCGAAGTAGGTAATTATTGATGGATTGCTTAGTTACCGTTAACAATATTTATAGTACATGTAAAATTATACCTTATATCTTAAAATTTACATTGAACTTTGACATTGATCAGCAGTGCATAATGATACAGCATATTCATAAGAACACAGATTAAGTATGTTGTTACTATGCTATTTTTATACACATATAAGATAATTAAAATTAATCAGGCGGGTTATTTGGAAGTTAAATAGATACTCGTACAATCTAGTAAGGAGATAATATAGGTGTTTGAGTTTTTTTTACCAGTACCTAGGTATGTATGTATGCACACCAAAAGCTTTTAAGAGATTGTGCAGTAAAGTGAATGCTTCAAATCAACTCCACTTTATAATGGAATCGAAAATCAAATATATAATGTTTTATTAAAAATCTCAATGGTCGTTAATTTATAAATATTTTTTTTAGTTTACACTAGCTGACCCGGCGAACTTTGTTCCGCCTTAATGGCAATAAAAAGTATCCTATGTCCTTCTCCTGGCTCTAAACTACCTCTCTGACAATTTTCAGCTAAATCGGTTCAGCCGTTCTTGAGTTATAAGTGGAGTAACTAACACGACTTTCTTTTATAAATATATAGAAGATTTGATCGAAGCCTTTGAAACAAAATAGAATCTTGAAAATGAAAAACAAGTGTTATCTTTAAGAAACTTTTTAATTCAGAGCTAATAATAAATAGATACCTACTTAAATCTGATGCTTCAAAAGCATCTCAGGGCTCGTGAATTTTAGATTTGATTTGCACTGGTGTCTATGTTTTATATCAAGTAAAAGCGTTTTCTAAAAGCCTATTTGCATAAAATTAATTAAAGTATTTTAAACTTTATCATATTTCTTAGTGAATGAATTTTCAAAAATCTCTATAACACATTTAAATCGGCATAATTATAATATTAAAATTAATTTAAAGAAAGAAAAAAAAATGGTGCATACTTTTCTGTTGAATAAAACTCATAAAACATCATTTTATTTTTGCAAGAAAAGCACTTTTACACGTCCCAGTATTAACCGTATTATCACTGCTTCGGGACAATAAATGGGCCAGTTCTGAGAAGAAGCAGCGTAAGAAATTCAGTCACCATTCACTCTTCTATTGATGAAAACAGCATTAAAATCTATTGGGTTGTTTAAAGATCTAATCACAGAAACAGCGGGATCGGTTTTGAAATAATACGTAATTTTATTACTATAATTTTTAGTAAGTTTTGAAGGGTGAAGCGGTCGGACTGGCCGACTCGTGATCCGGGGAACGCGGGTTCGAATCCCACCGCCGCGGCGCCGCTCGACTATTGTGGTGAGCCGACTTGTGATACATTGATGCATAATTAGCTTAGTATGAAAATTAGATGGTGATAAACAAATTACCAATATATTAAAAAAAAAATTACTTACTTTTTCTGGAACCTCAGCACAGGGTCGGCCCTAAGGTCGCTCATGTCGATGGTGTGTCCCTTGGCTTTGATCTGCGGGTGCTTGCGGACCAGCAGCCAGCCCACGTGCGAGAAGAAGAACCCACGCGTGGCGTTGTGGGGGTCCGCGTCTGTCTCCGAGTACTTGTGGTGCATGCGGTGGTCTCTCGCCCAGTCCACTACTGCGTCCTGGAATGATTTGAAGGTTAAATTATGAAAATCCGTCGAATAAAGGACGTAGTACGCAGAACTGACTGCTGATGGTACAGCAAGGTTCTGGAGTGGAGGCCACGTACCGGAAAGCGCAGCACAAGGTGGACTGACGACCTCATAAAGGTAGCAAGAATGCGATGGATGCAGGCCGCCACCAACCGGCCATTGTGGAAATCATTGGGGGAGGCCTATGTTCAACAGTGGACGTCCTATGGGTGAAATGATGATGATGATGATGAAAGGACGTAGCACATTTATCAACTCGGTAAGGGATCGTAACCATATCAATTCGAGGCGGTCAGTATTCTTTGTATGAAACTCCGTACTTCAACGCACACTTATCCGTACCGTAACGTACTAAACGCCTCGCCTCGCGGTTAACAGCGCGTGAAAGGTGTACCTACTGTGTTGATCCCTTTCCGAGTTGATAAGTCTGCTAAGACCTTAACCTTATGTCTACAATTTAGAACACTAGATAGAACACACATTTAATTGTACATCACAGAAGACAAGAAAATAAAATAAAGGAATGCACATAAGAGACAGCACAGTTTTTGCGGTCTTTTTAGGTCTTTGAAGAGTTACATTTCTGTTTAAGTACTGTAGCATGTTAGCCTGTCTCTAGTTGTATTTTGCATGTTTCAGTCATGCAAGAATGGAGAAAATCCCAAAGCTCTTTAACTGGTTCTAATAGTACTGCTGACCTCCTAGCAAGATAAAATTACACAGTTGCGCATCTAACTTGCGATTGATAAATTAGATAGCTACTCGTATAACTGCTCAATACATGGTTAATTAATATCTGTTATCAGTTTTGTTATAGGTAAAGTAACAACAAATCACATGTCACCTTTTGTGTCAACAGTGACTAATCTTCGAGTTAGCAAGTCGTAGTGCGTATCAAGCATTTTGTTCAGTGTGATAGGCCCTAAGAACTCAAGGTCTAAGTTGTGACGGTCTTTACACATAAAAATTATTAATTAAAGTGACGAAACACGTGACAGCTACCACTAGGTCAGAGATAGGTAACTGATATGCAAGTTGAAGGTGACGCGTGATCGGTCCGTGCACCGCGATAGGAAGTTCAACACCAATGTCACACATGGAATGGTTTCTCCCACGGTCGTTCCGATCGATGCGCGATAGATGTCGCAAGTGATGTTTATAAACACACAGATGTAAAGATATCAGTCAATTTGCGTAGATATATACGCAAATTAAGCTTAATTACGTAATTGAACTTTATTGAATTGAGTACAAACTAAACAAACAATTTACATAGATAACTCCAATCTCAGGGCGTTGTTTTGAAAGGTAATTTGTCAAATGAAAACTTGACTTTCAATAAGTCATTCACACTGAAATTTTTAAACAGAAGTTAATATCATAGCTCTTGTCAGCTCATCTAAAATATTTGCAAATGTAGGTTATTTTATAATTTAAATTAAGCCTAAACTTTTACGTTGAAATTTTTCAGATTTTCTTCAACCTAGCAGGTTGAATGCTACAGGCGTCATCGGTGATCCCAAACAATAGATTTGTATCTACCAGTACTATGTTTTTTAACCCCCGACGCAAAAGAGAGTGGTGTGGTGGTTTAGGCATTTGTATTCTAAATAAAATATCATAATTGTTAATCACACGTATTTTTGCATCAAGTGCCGTCCATCTTCAAGTTCCAACATACTTTTCTAAAGCCGCGTAGCGCAAAGCGTAAGAAAAGAACGGATTTTCGCGTTTAAAGTAGAATTAGTATAGATTACAATAAGTTTCAGGGTGCCTAACTTGCCTAACAAGATTTCCTAATTGACATCGACGCTGGCCCCGACGGCTTGTCAACGTTAATTTCACTGACTTCGTGGTTATTTTAGACAAAAAAAATATATTTTAACAAAAAATATCGTAGAAAAAGCACTACGCGCGATGTCAATGCTATGCATACACTATACTACTTACTGCATATTCAATAAAGGATATTAAATAGTTTTTGTGATTGATAAACTACGCAAATCACGGGAAAAACACTAAAGTTAATACTCTACTACGAGTATTACAATGATTAATTAGTGTTGTACGAGTACTACATTAATCACCTTAGGTACAATTATTATGAATCAAGTATTATCGTGCTAATATTACGATCTCATACATACTTAAAGTATCTGAAAAAGCACAATAGGTACAGTAGACAGCACATTAACCTATATTGCAACGAGATAAGTCGCCACTATGTTTACCTTGATGTGCTTTCGTTTATAGTCTATACACACGACAGCAAATTGAACTAAACGTTTTTCGGCCGTTTGGTGCAGTGGTTCGAAAGGGACTACTATACCGAGAGGTCGCGAGTTCGATTCCCGCTCAGTACTAAACATTTGTGTGCATGAACATATTAATATAGTACGTATTTACAAAAAAATAAGTATGTTTATTGTTTATATCTGTTGTCTAGTACCCATAGTACAAGCTTTACTTAGTTTGGGACTAGCAGAGGTGCAATGTAAAATGTTCAAGGATATTTTTTTGTTGCCAAATTAGCACCTATGTATGTATATTCCAACTACAAAATGTCAGTATTCATTCATCTCTTCGTGACGTCATTTGTACAATACACAAAACAATCAAAAACCAACTCTATTAGTTACCTGGAATGCCAATGTATTGAAGAGGGTCAGTATAATCCTAAGAGGCAATTTCGCTTTGTAAGATTTGTGGGCCCATAGTCTGTGCGCTCCAGCCGTGATCCCGAGTCCCGAACATACGTACAGTATCAAACCTGAAAACAAGAGAAAGGGTGTTATTGTATAATTACAAGTATTTGCTCACGTAGATTTCAATAAACAATAGCCTATATATGTATAAATATATATAAATGTTATTCTGATGTAACATTGTAAAGTTTCCACCAAATCTGTGAAGTAGTTTTTGCGTGAAGGACTACAAACATCAACTCTCTCAACCTCGCAAACTTTCACGTGTATTATACTATATTTTTCCTTTATTCGCTTGGGTAGTAAATATTTATTGACACCACAGCTCTGGTGTTTAGTCACTATCTCAATCGGACTGATGACAACTGACGTGTTCACCGCGTCACTATATCTTTAACCTAATCTAATAAGCACATACTCTACATAATTATAATTATTATTTGTTATTTTATGCTCCGCCGAGAATCGGAAGTCGGAACACAGACCCTCGAGATCGAGAGAGTTAATGAAGAAAAAGTCACATAAATATTAAGATAGTGTTTTAAAATTTCATGGTCACTAACATAATAATCCCGGTAGCAATCCCGTCATATTATGATAATAATAATTAAAAGTGTTGCTATTATTACAATTTATTACGAACGCACAATAGCGCGGAAATTCCTTTACAATTTTGATCTTACGAGTAGTAACCATGATCCCAGAGCAAGTGCGACCATTATAAATATGCAGATTGTTACTACAATTTGTTCAACGAATTTAATCCCTGACCTATTTCGTAACCAATTAAAACAAGAAAAACACTCGTGTAGAAAAATAATGCTTCGTCAGTTTTCAAATTGTTGGTTTCTATACAGGTAGAGTTTTTTAAAAATATAAAAGTTAACTCAAACCACCTGGAGTTCGTAAATAATATTATGTATAGGTACTAATTTGCGGCAGTAATTTATGACAAAGTTTTCTCTTGTTTTTGTATTTGTAGAGTCTATACGATTATGATATAAAAGTAGCGGGACACCAGAATATTTTTTTCACCAAAGTTATTACATAATTTAAATTCAATTGAAATGGAACCTAAATCTTTTAGTAAAATCGTAAACTAAATTCGACTTTACTTACTCCCACTGTTAGTTGTTTTATTTTGTGGGTGTAGAGATAAAAATGTCACATTTAAGTCTAGATGAGAAGAAAAGAGCATATAAAATATCATACCCGCTTTACTGGCGCTCGTGTTTTGATTGCTGCGGGAGCTCTCTACTTATTTATTATTTGTAGTTCTGAGCCTCTGATACTGGAATATTTCCTAACTGTTCGTGTTCATTTCGCTTTGAGTTTAATAAGAAATACATTACGAGGAGGGAACCATTCATCGCGTTCCGCGCGCGTTCTGTGTTTGTTAAACCGCGCATAAAAAGGTTCTTTTCACAGGGTCGATAACAGGTTAGGTATACGTGTTTTAACACATAAAATCCCGAAATCAAAGACACTGCAAATATCCAAGCTGTAAATAGTTTTTACTTAAAAATAAGAAAATTTTTACACAGAAAAAGTACCTACATGAATAAAAAATTTGCATAGAGCTGACAGTAACTTCCTGCTTTACATGTAACCTATCGACTAATTTTAGTTCTATACGGTAACTACAGGCATAGCTATTAGTTAATTTACTATTTTAACCAATTTCTATTGTTTCCATAGTAACAATTTAAATAAGTAACAATAGCTTTATATTTAATGATGGAAGTGTGTGGGAAGTCCGATAGCGAGAGGTAATACCGAATGTACAGAAATGGAAGGGACCTAGTTTCAGGTAACGTACTTTAGTGGCTAGAGAGATAATTCTAGATAGTAGTCATTAATTAGATCCATTTGAGCCATGATTCGACGTCTATGGACTCTTTATTGCAAAGTAGCAAATATCACAAACTTCTTAGAAGACTTAATATTATCAATACGTCAAAATATCAAAGAAGCGACAATAGACAGTGCAGGCACAGGTGCAGGTGTCGAAAAACCGACTCGAGATTCGAATAACCCTGGTTCGAACTCCGCCGCTGGACTATTGTGAATCCACTCATAACACAAGCATATTTAGCTTAGCATGAGGGGTTTTACGGGACTATTACGCCCGTATTCTTAAACGATGTTTGCTTAGCCTAGCCGCAGATCACCGATTTTAGTTGGCAGATAGTTGGGCCCGATTCTAATTTGTATGAAGAATCAGCCGATACCAAATCGGTGTAATGTGCGCACTTTCATACGGATTACTAATGTTTGGCCAAAAAACGTTTCCCAAATTATCACATCGCAAACAACGTTTCGCAAATTTTCATTTGGCAAATTCTCATTTGGCAAAACAACTTATTGCAAACTCTTAATTCGCAAATATCGTTTTTGGCATATTATTGTTTAGCAAATTAGTGTTTGGCAAAGTATGTTTTNATGTCCATACTGACTGATCAACTGCCCGATTATACTATTGACGAAAAATCGATGGTCTGCGCCTAGGCTTAAGTGAAGCAGCAAATCGAACGCACAGTGCAGCGTTGAATACAGCTATTGTGATTGATTCATGTACATCACCCTGTGCGTCCACACGTACTGTGAGACCTCATAGTAACGTTTGTGAATACGGGCGTTACTTAGTCATTTATGTCAAAACTTACAGAACAGTCGGGTCTTCCACATCACAGTTGTGAGCATCAGGTAGGCTCCGTATAAGAACCCGAGGTGGAGGTAGGTAAAAATGGCCACGTTTCTCCACACGATCTGCGTCTGCCTCTTCTCGGCCTGGGGGGCCATGTGCGTGATGACATCTGGGTCCTTGGCGTCCGACTCAAACAACACGAACGAATCTCTCTCTGCACCTTGTGGCGGCATTTTTCTATGGACAAAAACGTATTTGTTAGTAAAAAGGCAATTTTTACTGACTTTTCTATCTACATCTTTAAACCACTAAACGGTTTGCGCTGACATTGGCACACAGATGAGTATTATGAAGTAAGCATACGCCTAGGAAGGATTATCAAAAATTTACCCCCTTATGGGATGAAAATGGCTTAAACTTGGAAAGCTAGTTAATATATTTATCAAGCTTTTCCCATCGTCAAATTATAGTTGCAATCTGTAATTTTTGTTTCTAACATATCACAATTACAACTATACAAAATCCTACAGTGTTGAGTTTGATTTGCCGCTGTCGTCTTATGGAGAGACAGCATTTAGTTAGGGAGNTATACCTACCCACTAGTTATGTATCATTAAAAGCAGTAAATTAAACGGTTTCAGCTACAAATTGTTTTACTTCGATAAAATCGTTCGCGATACGTGATTAGTTGGTAACATATTGATTTGATTCGTGTGTTAGGCTGCAAATGTCTAATTAAGGTTTCGTTTTCATTATTTTGGTACACGAAATAGGCGGAGCTCTTGTAGATTGTGTGCAAATAATGCATGGTGTTTTTGTTCGAGAAATTGAAGACAAAAGCTTTTCCATTAAGAACATGAATACTTTTGAAGGAATAAATTTTTAATTCTAATAATGAGAGCGAAGTGTTTGTAGTAAAATATTTAGACCTAGACTTTGACAAACAAACATAGCCTGTTCATGAAAATGTAACTTGTTACGCTGTGACTTCAACGCCATTAAGGGCATAAGTAATCTAATATTATGTTTTTCGCTCAAGTTAATGACATCATGAAGCGATCACGAAATCAAATTGAAAAGATTATTGCTATATTGTTTAGATACTGGACGACTTTAGTCCATTGTAGCAATAGTACTTTTCGACGCGATCATACCTGCTTAGAACTCTATGGTATCTGTCTCACACTCACCATATCATTTTGTACTTCAGCATTGTTGGAAAACACCTTGCACGTGTAAGACTAAAAACGAAATCCTTAATAATTATGAAGTGGAAGGTAATCTGTATTACTTACCCAATTAGTTACTTATCCTCTATTTAACTGCTAATCTTGTTCAAAATAAGTGATTAAAAATTGGGTTAGTATACTTATTTATTTATAACATAAAGCATATTATATCATAGAAAATATTGTTACAGAAAAATAAATACGGCTCCCGAATTGTCTCTACAAAAAAAGATAATGAATTCCTGCAGAAAAATAACTTGGTGACCATGATCACCCATAGGATTAAGAACATAGGGCTGACCTTTTGTGTAAGTGATGGAATCAAAATACATTGGCTGGCCATATTTGCTATAATTTCTTTTGTACTAACCCAAGGATTGCAAATTATTGGTTTGTTCAATGCAAAAGACGACATAGACAAGGTATTTGAATACTTCAGCGTCATGTCTTTTTGTGGCATGGGAATTCTTAAGCTCCTGTCTCTATGTCGAAACCACAAGCAATGGAAAATACTTTTGGACAACATCAAGCAGTTAGAAAAAACACAGTGCCAGAATGAGACCTCGAACGTGGAATATGAGAGTGACGGCGAAAATGATACCTTTACTTTCCCGAGCTACATCGAATCTTACACCAAAAAGTTTAAAATTGTCTCAACTGTTTTGAGCAGAATGTATGGATTTACAGCAATTGTTTACATTCTGTCACCGTTCGCTGAATTTACCCTTTTGATAATGACTGGCAATGAGGATTACGAGAAGCCTCACGTTCTGCCAGGTTGGGCGCCATTTGATTCAAGGAGTTTTGTTGGGTACTTTACGAATGTGGCGGTAGAGATCATTTCAGCTACTTATTGCGTGTTGGTTCACATTACTTTTGATTTGACATCAATTGGCGTAATGATTTTTATTTGCGGGCAGTTTTCTTTGATTCGTGATTACAGCAGTAATATAGGTGGAAGTGGAGCATCGTGTACTTTGTCGAAAAGAAGANAAAGATGGCCACGTTTCTCCACACGATCTGCGTCTGCCTCTTCTCGGCCTGGGGGGCCATGTGGGTGATGACATCTGGGTCCTTGGCGTCTGATTCGAACAACACGAAGGAGTCTCTCTCTGCACCTTGTGGCGGCATTTTTCTATGGACAAAAACGTATTTGTTAGTAAAAAGGCAATCTTTACTGACTGATCTATCTACTAAGTATAAAATACATCTGAAACCACTGAACGGATTGCGCTGACATTGGCACGCAGATATTTATTTTAACGTGAGCATCCGCCTAGAAAGGATTATCAAAAATTTACCCCATAATGGGCTGAAAATGGTTTTAAAGTTAACGCGAGTGAAGTCACTTGAAAAGCTAGTTGGTATATTTATCAAGCTTTTCCCATTCTTTGCATCGTCAAATTGTAGTTGCAATCTGTCATTTTTGTTGCAAAATATCATGATGACAACTATACAAAATGCTAAAAGTGTTGAGTTGTCGTCTTAAAGAGACACAGCATTTAGGGAGTAATTAAGAGTCACTAAACTTTGCACCTTCGCAGAAACGAGATCCGTTCGTGAAATATTAAATTAAATTTTCATTTGCCCTTTACTTTTCCTGTCTAACCTAAAAGACCGGAAGTCGCATTTTAAGGATAAGTTCAAAGGTCAATGTCCATCATAAATGGCTGTCAGTTACTGCCGAATAAGTTAGGCTTTTAGCTGCAGTTATAATGAGTGTTTGAATAATTAAAATAATGTCACCATTATTTTGTCGAGGAAGACGATTGATGATAGCTGACAATGACGAGACGACGTGACAATAAAAGTAACAGTAAGAGTTAAAGTAAACGGAGGTTACTTGTGTCAGTTTGTTGCCTACAATTTTCATGGGTCTCATGGCACATCTACTCCTCTCGCTCGCTCATCATCATCATCATTTCAGCCAAAGGACGTCCACTGCTGAACATAGGCCTCCCCCAATGATTTCCACAATGGCCGGTTGGTGGAGGCTTGCATCCATTCCAGCGCCTTCCTGCTACCTTTATGAGGTCCTCGGTCTACCTTGTGGATGGACGTCCTACGCTGCGCTTTCCGTTACGTGGCCTCCACTCCAGAACCTTGCTTCCCCATCGGCCGTCAATTCTGCGTATTAAGTGCCCTGCCCATTGCCACTTCAGCTTGTTAATCCGTTGGGCTATGTCGCTCACAATCGACTAAATGAATTATCAATTTAGTAAGAAATATTTTTGATCAACACAGCCTGTCCAGCAGGGCCCACTAAGAAATTAGTTTCCACACAAAAACTGTCACCCTCTTCCTTGCCTATAAGATTTATTTTGGCAACAAAGGTAGGCTTTATCCTTATCCTAGATCCCATCTGTCTGATTCATCGAGATTGGTTCAGTGATTTAGGCGAAAATGTACAGACAGAAGCACTTTCATATTTATTGACAATGTTTCTTTGGAGTTACATACAAGTTAAATGGGTTCAACAAAGCATAAATAGCATAATAACGCCGTAATCCTACTAATTTATTTCTAAATAGTAATCTAAGTACAGGTAATATCTTAATAATATACAGTCGTCTTTTTATTTTAAAGTAAAATTATGTCCGTTTTTGAAAGAAAGAAAGAAAAAACTTTTTCATCAATTCCTATCTTTTAAGTGACCCTAACACTTGACAGGAATTTTGTTTTCTTAGGGGTCACTTAAAAATTAGGGATTGATGGTGAAAACGGGCGTTGATCTACAAGTTATTTTAATTTCGCTTTGAACCACTTGAACCTTGAATTAGTCTATTTTTGTAAGTAGGTACTGGCACGATGGTTCATGATGGTAGGAATTTACAGAAATACATCCTCTTGTTTCAGGGGTTTGTGCTCTTTAATGATGACGTGTTCCAAGTGCCTAGGACCTACCTATTACTTCTCACATCAATTTCATTGTTGTTACCCGAACTAAGTATTATAAATTGTAAAATTAAATGCGAAAATAACTCTGACTCTATGTTCTAAGTATTATGTTGTCAGGCCTTTACCGTTGGTGGTTTTGATTTTAGACTGAATTTAAGAGAAAATGTAAACCTATTGCAAATAATTTCAAAAATAGGAGTGGGTGAAAATGATTGAGAATAAGTTTGAAAGGGCAATCCATCATTTCACATGAAAAGGACATAGGTACACTCATCTCAAGCTTTTGGAAAGTAAATTAAATGTTTTGATCATATAACACGCTACGATTAGGAGTAACTTTTGTGTTCTATCAAGAACCAGTGGACGAAGCCACGGAAAAAAATAGTTTATGTAAAAAATATTATTATTATCATCAATCCATCAAGTATACCTACCTAGAGCTTGCGTCAACAGTGTTAACAATAAGATGAAAAACGTGCAGCTAATGAGTAGGTATAAATAAAACATTAATGAAAAACACAATGCCTACCTACATACAATTAGTTGAAGTAGGTATTATAAAAAATACAGTATGGACATAGTGGTGGTACCTCTAGAGATAAACTAAGTGATTATAGAAAAGATAAAAGTAGAAATTCAACTAGGTTTAAGCAAACACGATCGTTTAAATCAGGGGTGTCCAAACTAGATGGGACCCAGGGTCAATAAAAATGACTAAATACATTGGTGGGCCGCAAAATATTTATATAAATAAAATACTGGTCGCAGTGCATGTTTAAGTGAAGTATCTGTCAATGAAGACCTGTATTTTGATTTAATAAGCTTCATTGTTGAATATGCACTCTCACAAAGGTAGGTACTACTTCGAGAAACGTTCAGCGAGGAGCTTAAAAAAATCAAGTCCTGTTTCAGTTCTGCCCTTGTAAAAGGGGTCTGATTGCAGATCACATAGTTCCAGTTGATAATTTGCTCATTAATGTATTTAAACAAAGAAGATAAAAAATATTCTACGGGCCGCAATAATCCAAAACGCGGGCCATGGTTTGGACAGCCCTGGTTTAAATCATATTAAGTACTGTAATTTTTTTTCTTTTATGTCCGATTTTACAATAATACCTGTAATTCACAACTTATTGTATCATATTTTTTTATAACATTAAAGATTAGTGTTCTTTTATTGCTATAGATAGCTAAGGTTAATGAGTTCAATTATTTGTATCAACGTGATAAGATACTAAACTTAGACAAAGGCGATATTACATTGAGAAAAAGATAAGTCTTTTGATATAAGTTTATTGCGAATCATTCGTTTAACGTAATATTTCGCAATATTACGTTAAATTAAANAATCTAAAATAATTTTATTATTCTATACCTACTTATTGCCTTGTTTTGCAATAAATTTGTTTAAAAAGGAAATTGAGCCACAAAGAGCATGCAATCTAATGCAATTTCAAATGAATTGCGGCGATTGAATACAATGAAACATAAACACAAAATTGTAGTAAAATAAATGCAGTTCTTTTCATATGGAAACTGCATCTATGTTCATGAAAAATGACTGTCTTTTGAAGTACCTATAGTAGTATACGAAATCTGAATCACATAGTTTGCATTTAAATAAGTAATATTTATTTTTGATTGAATATTGGTTTGGAAATTCTAAAAATCAAATAAGTACCTATGATTCGGAAACATGTTCTGAAAACTGAAAAGTTCAATGATTTTTTACTTGAAAAATTATCCCAGGGGCTTGCCCTTTCGTCGGTTGACTGCTCCGACCACTGAATTCCTGTTAAACCTGTCAAATTTTTCAAGCAAAGTCATGTTTCTGATAGGGATTATAAATGTAAAAATACTAATATAATATTTTCAGAATGTATTAACCTACGCAGCCACAGGCGTTCATATTTATACAATATAGAGTTACTAGCCGTGCCCGCGACTTCGTACGCGTGAAAATAGAAAATATCCCGTTTTTACAACATAGGGTATTCTCCGCTCCTATTGGTCGTAAATGATGTTGGACTGATGGAGGCTGTAGCCTCCGTCAGTAAACAGACTATCCAAACAAAAATATTTTTGCAATTCGGACCAGTTCCTGAGATTAACGCGTTCAAACAAATAAACAAACTCTTCAGCTTTATAATATTTAAAAAATAGTATAGAGTAATGTATGTATGCTTTATTGATGAAGCTAAGTTTATAAAATAAATGTCAATGCATGCCTCCAAATAAAGCATAGTATGGAAATTCTTTGGTGTTGACAGTCAATTGCTTTACATTTTATGAACTTATAAACTACAATTAGGTACTTACTACAAGTTTGAAAAGTTATTGTTTTCATAGAGTTTTCAGGATTATACAGGGTGTTAGGTAAATATAAATGGTATGGTGAAGTCAGAAAATTGATATCTTCATTTTAATTATTTAAATTTTCATACAAATCGGATTTTATAAAATTTATTTTGTATGAAAATTAAAAAAAATAAAATGATGATATCAATTTTCTGACTTCACCATACCATTTATATGCCCATGTTAACATGGGCTAGTGTCGGCTCATATACCCATTTACCTAACACCCTGTATATGTAGATACTAGCATTATGTAGGTACCTATTTTTAAAGGAGTTGAACTTCGGAATTACTGTTTATTGCTCCAATTGCTACATCCGGTAAATATAGACAGACAGCTATTCATTAAACAAACAAACATGTTTACCACTTTTTAATATTAGCAGATTATTTGTCACGCATGCAGACACTTGAAAACATTTAGCAGACGAGTGTTTTTGCTAGTAAGGTTGTCTGCTAGCGATACCGCTGATCATTTCAGTGGCCGTTTTGTGTGATTCATGTACCGGACTATTATTCCAGAGGCCGCAGTTTCAATCCCCGCTAAGATAAAGTATTGTTAAATTGTTATATTGAGTTCATTGAAAAAAAAAATTGCATACTTGCTGTTTACAAAATCAGCCTGTATGTTTGTATTGATCTGGGAATTTTCTATGACTGAATGAAGTATGCATATGTTACAGAAAATGTATGAAATCCGTCATTGTATACAATTCCTAGGAATTGTGTATACCTAATTCCTAAAATCACCCGGAAATGTGTGATGTAAATTATATTAGACACATTTCCTAGGAAATTGACACATTTCCTAAACAGCAATCGGAAATGTAATATGTATAATATTTCGCGTGGACATGCGGTGCGAGGGGAGGGTATTGCATCATCCGTTCACGCGGGGTCTCTATCGAATCGCCAAATTATTTGTACGCCTAATTGTCTATGGCACAAAAATTTTAAGCCAAAAATTTTTTTACACAAAATTATTTTGTTTTTATTACGCTACTTTTTTTTCTCCGAAATTGAAATAGCGCTCGGCGGCAGCTGTGTATGTGTAAGTCACAAGTCTAACCTAACCTAACCGAGACTTTGTTATCCAGCTACAGGAGTACTAAAACCTTCATGCCAATAATAGTTTAATATTAAAATAAGGGATTTAGGCGTCCCGAGGGGCACCCGCTCTCGCGACCGCGCTAGTGCCGCTTAGTTTTATACATTTCCTAATACAATATTGGAATTCTATAAAATTCCTAGGAAAAGTATACATTTCCTAGGATATGTGCATATTAAAAAATCTCTGAAGCAATATTTTATACATTTCCTAAATAGCTTGGGAATTGTATACATTTCCTAGGAATAGTATACAATTCTTAGAATTCATACATTTCCTGTAACACGTATACAAAAAAGTATATTACGTATGTTTTTATATCCATTTTCTGGTACCAATAGTGCAAGCATTGCTTAGTTTGGGACTGAATGGCGCGTTGATGTTTAGTGAAAACATCTACAAGTAGTTGTTACCTAACCAGGGCACATGTTAATTGGTTATTCTTCTAGGTCAAAGGGTCGGAAGGGCTGCTTTCATAATTTGTGTGTTAACTAAATGGAGAGAGTTCAAGTTAACTAAAATTACGCAGCATTGCAGGTAATAGGCTATTTTTTAAATGTGTGAAAATTTGTACAAACTTATTACACCTTAGGGCTCTACATGAGTCTGAATAAGTATACATTATTTATTTGGTTAAATTAACATCACATTTAGTTAACCTTCAGCGTTTTTACTGTAAATTATTCTAATATAATTCAAATAGATTAAAGGGCTATTGATGAATGATTGTTCTGGAAACATTTGAGTAACGAGGGTTTGATTACTAGCTGCGTGTAAGTAAAATATTTTTTTAGTAATTACAAATTTAAAACCACTGATTCTACAACAATGAAGCACAATTACTTATACGTGGTGAGTTCATTGAACCTTATTGTAAGGTATTAAGTGTTATACAATAAAAGCATACATACAGCATGATTATTTCCTTGTCAACAACAACAACTGCGTTAACGTATCCTAATAAATCTAACCTTCTACACAGAGTTCGCAACGTACGTACATTAATGCAAATTGGCCTATGCCATCAGTATGAATCAGTTTATACGTACACACTGTTGCATAGAACAAGTATTTACGCAAACAATTGACAAAAAAAATATTTTGACATTACTTTGACATCTGTCATTAAAATGATATGCAAATTCATTTGTCTTTCGGCTAAACAATGCAAATTATACACGTACCTAATGATGCGTCCACACTGGGCGAACGGGCTCGCGCGACAAACTCGACATCCTGCTCACCCTGCTCACTCAAGAGCAGGGTGAGCAGGATGACCAGCGTGCCGCGCGAGCCCGTTCGCCCAATGTGGACGCACTATTACATTACATGTAAACATGTCATTCAAACAAATTACAGTCACTCTCTTGAGACGTACTCGTAATAACTATTAAATATCATCAATATCGTAGCTAAGGCCAATTGGCCGTAACCAAACTGTTTTTGGTAATTAGCAAAATTCGCACAGCGTGATTCACTAGCTACCTACTGTTTAATTTAAAATTTAGGTAGGTAGGTATTCTAACCATAATCGATTTGATGTCTAACGTCCGGTCATTGAAAGGAGCAGACGATTCTGTCAACTCTGCCGCTGTGTCGGCGGCTCTATGTCTGCGGGCACGAAACTGGCGACGCCGAACGATGGCGGGGCGACTCGACGGCCGGGCGTAGGCGATGAGGAGTAGTATTGCGATCGGCCCGCTTCCGCCGCCGTTGTCCGTTCCGTGCGCGTCCACAACATGGACAGTATATGGTGATACTGTCCATGTTGTGGACTTGTGGTATGCATTAGGGATGTTATGGGTATGTAGTTTCGGTTATGGATACGGTTACGGATACGATTAATATTATACCGGTTTCGATTACGGTTTAAAATATTTTTTTATTTCGGATATCCGAAAGTTTCGGTTACGGTTACGGATATCCATAACATCCCTGGTAAGCATCGCCGGCGCCGCTCTGCCATCGCCGCCGCTCTGCCATCGCGTCGCGTTGCCATCGCTAGGCCGTGTCGCCAGTTTCGTGCCCGCAGACTAAAGGACTCTACGGCGCTGCTATCAGCAGTTTTCAAAATTTTCATGACAACATGTCAAAAGTCGACGACTAATGTCGGCGAGTTAGCGGATTTGGTGTGTAGACTGCATAATACTTGCCTACTGATGAAGAATATTACTAACGGTTGTCATTACTTACCCTTAACCCGTGTGATCAAGAAATGAGACTAGTTTCTGGTTAGTAATAACCAATTTGTAGTCAAATATAGCTGACGGCTGTTAGGTGAGTGCAATGAGCACAAGATTTGCAGCCGGAGTTAAATTAGGTCATATTTTTTATATAAAAACTTCATCACCAGCCCTTTACAGTCCACTGCTGGACTATGAGCCTCCTCCACTATAGTGGAGGGTTTTGCCATAATCTCCACGCTTGGCAGGCGGGTTGGAGATCGCAGTTTAAAAGATTGATGTTTTTCAGAGAGCGCTGCTGCCCATTCTCTGTTTGATGTGTAGTCCCTAAGTCGCCTCTTACGACACCCGCGGGAAGAGTAGGGGTTGGTGACAAATGTATTCTACTCTGCCGTCACCACACGGCTTATTATATAAAAACATATACAAACAAAAAACAAAATATTATATAAAAACTTAAGTAGCATTATTTGGAATAAATTATTACTATTCTTAGATGAATGGTGATAGCTGTTTATAACCATGCAAATGCGTCGAGACCTTGTGACCTTAATATTTTGGCAGTCATATTTTGTTATGGCTTTCACTAATTTGTTTATTTGGCCAAGCTGATAAGCAGTGCAATAAAAAACAATTAGTGCAACAAACAACTTACATATACGAAATCAGGAATCAACGCAAATATAAACAAAAAATTGAGTAAATATTTTTCATGCGCAGTTTAAGGTCAATGTAGGTGATAGGTATTAGATATTGGCTACTGTGATAAGAATTTTCGGTCATTTTTGGCAATGACAGATCCAATTGGAAGACAGATCGTGTTTGGAGCAATTTTTCTCGAAACATCTTTCTAGCAACGTTACCAGAATAAGTAAGTACAGAATATTTTTGGAATTATAATAATATTGTCTTGTGCATAAGACAGAATCGATTTGGAAAAGTATTGTAACTTGGGTTACTATGCAAGAAATCATGGGTTAGATCCCCTTATAATTCGTTTTCTTTGATCATCTCAATATGTTATCAATCTATTTATTTTGGGTGCGCGATAATATATTTAACCAATTCTGATGAATTTTTTTCGAAAGGCTTTGGAACTTGATTAATTTTATGATCTTAAGAAAAGTGCAGTTTCCTCAATTTTTCTCTACTTCAAGATAATCTCTATTGTATGAGAATCGCCCCCCACAGGCACGTAAAGTACTCGCTCGCTGAATTTTCCCTTTCACCCTCGCAGAATTTATAGTACGCGCTCTGTTCAACGGCTCTTAATTGCCGATAAAACAAGTAGATACCCATGAATCCAATGGCTCTCAAACTGTTTGGTAGCATAGTATATACTAAAGTATTGGAACAATCCCTTTAAAAATAAAGCAGAGATCAGCTGACACATAGCCAGAAATTATAAAAAATAATTGTTGTACCTACTTAACAAATCAAATCTAAGATACATTAATGTTATTAATATTTTAGTTTGAGTTATTTAAAGACCGAAAGAACTATTTTATTTTATTTCGTACCAAAAAAACAAAAGAAAGCAACTGAAATTAAAATTAAAATAAATGGTACAGTCGACAGCACAAATTGCCGGTACAATTTCTTAATTTTTACCTGACATTTCCCGTAGCTGAACAAAACTTCACAGATAAGCAAAATTACCAAAACTGCATTTAAAAATAGAACTGCTCTCTCGAAAAAAAAATGACTCACCCTTCCACCGCAGACGGTCGTAACTGATCTACCGTTTGATTCTAGAACAAACCACTTGTTTGTATAACAAACGTTTGAACCGCGTATGAACTTCGACCGCGCGGGAGTGGCGTGATTCGCACAATATGCTCGCACAATCCTCGCAGATCACGAGCTAATTCGTGACTCAATGGACCGTCTGCCACACGGGTTGAAAAGGCAACGGTTTTAATGTTACGTACCTTATCAGTGCAGGTTGGACGCGACCTCAGACTGGGTGATTCGCGATTGATATTGTTATTACACACATTATAACGACGCTGAAAAAAGCTTCGATCTTCTTGAGACCGTTTAATTAGCAACTAATTCATAATTAGTTCTGACAAACATTTTCGAATTGAAAAAGTAGAAATTCCTTTAACTAAACAGTTCAGGTGACTCAAAAAATATTTAGGGCCCTAAGGACTTCGGGCAAGTAAGCTCATTCGCGACTCTACATAGATTTATTGATCAACTAAAATCATTAACACTTAACAGTATGATCACATAATAATATGACGTGTGTTTCGGTCAGGCATGGGTCAGTGAAGGCCCTGTCTTTTATGNCTAGTTGAAAATAAAGCAATTTAGATATTGGATTGCTTTTTGCATTGAAAAAAAATGGTTTCAATGCAAAAAGACCAACCTTCTTTAAACAAAAAAAAATTAAAACAATATAATAATGCAATAAAACCTTTGAGAAATAATAAATAAAAAAGTTTTCTACAATCTTGACCCGTGTGAACTGTCTCCTGGGTACACGGGGTCTTGAATTGATGCACAATTGAAGTATTATGTTTTTGCAATACAATTGCGGCTATTTTTACTTTTTGCATTGACTTTCTTATTTGCGGGACGAAATTAATTGAATTCAATTGCTTTTTAAACCTGAACTTTACAGTTGATTCAGAACAAAACATTTTGATACGCACTATTTAAACATCCTGTAGGTTAGGCAGGTACCCATATCCATGAGTACGTCACTCTGTTTATCCGTTAGTATAAAACATAACGCGTAAGTTTATAAACTAACGGTAAGATAGTATAACAAATCCCAGGATTGATAAATTGTAAGTGTAGTAGCTACACTGATTATAAACATTTACATATTTCTATTATTACAAAGAATCTTACGATATTTTTTGTTATTCTTAGCTAAATATTTTTACCTACGCTTTGTCGTTTGCTATTTACGATTTAAGACTTATTTATTTATTTTATAGAAACCAACGGCGATACATTGAAAATGTTAGTTACTTTATAAATATTTTTCTAATAATCTTGGTAGGTGATCAAAGTTTCGCTTCCAGATATTTATTTAAAATTTACCTTTTATAAATTGACATGGATAAATAACGTTGCTTAAAAGTTTTTCAGGCGACTATTGATTTATCATCCGAAGGCTCAAGGCATCCTTTATTTTAATTGACTTTGAACGCTATTAAAAAAGGCTTTAGTCATTATGGTTTTTGGACTAAGCGTCATTAGAGAATATTCAGATTACTTAGTAAAAAAATCTATCTTAAAAAACATTATCTTAATTATTAAATATTTTTTCACATTATTTGTTATAGATACGTATGTAAGACTTAAAATGGATTCAAAGTTACTAAACAGACTGTACCTAAATACTGTGTTATTTTCGGCTTTAAAATATCTATTCCCATNCTTTTATGGTTATACTTGTTTTGCGTGCGCCAAGTGTGCATATACCTTTAGGCTGATAAAACAGATTGCCGTATCTCGCGTATTCTGCGCACTCAGGCTGATTCTCGTCTCAATTAATGTTGCTATGCAACGCGGATTGAAAAGGCGACGCTTCAAAAGTGGAATCCTTTGATATCGGTACAGATTAGATCAAATTCTAACAAGCAAATCTAAGCAAATTGATAGCTTTGAGTCTTTCGAAATTGAACATCACAAGTAATTGAAAATAAAGCAATTTCGATATTGGATTGCTTTTTGCATTGAAAAAAAAAATGGTTTCAATGCAAAAAGACCAACCTTCTTTAAACAAAAAAATAAATAAAACAATATAATAATGCAATAAAACCTTTGAGAAATAATAAATAAAAAAGTTTTCTACAATCTTGACCTGTGTGAACTGTCTCCTGGGTACACGGGGTCTTGAATTGATGCACAATTGAAGTATTATGTTTTTGCAATACAATTGCGGCTATTTTTACTTTTTGCATTGACTTTCTTATTTGTGTTATTTAATACTTTTTCACATTATTTGTTGTATATGTACTCGTATGAAGCACTTATTAAAATACTTAGATTCAAAGTTACTAAACTGACTGTACCTAAATACTGCGTTATTTTCGGGTTTAAAATTATTTGTCCCTTGGGTTTTAGTTACGAGTTTAGTTTATTCCCATCTGTAATTTGTGGACAAAATAATAATATAAAATACCATGTTACATTTAGTAGATCTATATTAATATTTAAATTTTAAGAACCTATGTGTTACTGTAGGTATCCATAGAATATTAAAGGTAAAAAAATATTAAACGCGAAAGTAATTCTGGCTGTCTGTTATATTTTCAGACTTACACCACTGAACCGATTAAGATGAAATTTTATACACACAAGGATAGTTTGATACCCTGGAAAAATCATAGCAATGTTTTGGAAGGGGGGCACGTGTGCGCTTTCTGTGACAGATCGAAATTTACATGAGTAAAACCGCGAGAAAAAGCTATTTTACTATATTTGTGAAGTGTTATCTCTAATACGGGTCCGACTGTAAAACATTTCACCAATAGGTATAACAAATAACAATGTTGTAAAAATATGACTCATCCATCAGATAAACAAAACTTGGACACCGTATATTTAAAAAAAAATATATTTTATTTTTACCACATTCAATTACACAGACTCGTCCATTTAAATTAGATCGGTGAGCCATGTGAAGGGCCTTTTCCCGGATTTATCTATTGATTCTTTTTTATTAAAAAATATAGTCAACAGTACATCAGACTATTTATTTATGCATTTTTGTAGCAAATTCGTCCCTATTGCAACGCATAAGAAACTTCAGTATTAAGCTTGATGGTCCATCGTCCGAACATATACAATCAACCCTCATGTATTTACATTATTGTATCTTCTTTTGTGCGGGTAAATGAGGTCACAAACAACGTTCAAATAAGGTTGTAGCAAACAAGGTAGAGTCAGACTTAAATGAGCCGCCATAGCCATATGACATGGCTCAAGACAACGTTCAAATAAGGTTGTAGCAANTAATAACAATGTTGTAAAAATATGACTCATCCATCAGGTAAACAAAACTTGGACACCGTATATTTAAAAAATATTTTTTTTATTTTTACCACACTCAATTACACTGACTCGTCCATTTAAATTAGATCGGCGAGCCATGTGAAGGGCCTTTTCCCGGATTTTTCTATTGATTCTTCTTATTAAAAAGTACATCAGACTAATTTTATTTATACATTTTTGTAGCAAATTCGTCCCTATTGCAACTGCATAAGAAACTTCAATATTAAGCTTGATGTTCCGTCGTCCGAACCCATACAATCAACCCTCTTGTATTTACATATTTTATCTTCTTTTGTGCGGGTAAATTAGGTCACAGACAACATTCAAATAAGGTTGTAGCAAACAAGGTAGAGTCAGACTTAAATGAGCCGCGATAGCCATCTGACATGGCTCAAGACAACGTTCAAATAAGGTGGTAGTAAACAAGGTAGAGTCAGACTTAAATGAGCCGCCATAGCCATATGACATGGCTCAAGACAACGTTCAAATAAGGTTGTAGCAAACAAGGTAGAGTCAGACTTAAATGAGCCGCCATAGCCATCTGACATGGCTCAAGACAACGTTCAAATAAGGTTGTAGCAAACAAGGTAGAGTGAGACTTAAATGAGCCGCCATAGCCATCTGACATGGCTCATGGATTATAAGACCTGCACCTGAAGCACAGAAAATCATGGTTTTTTCTCACAGTCAGGTTAACTGTAGCCTGTAATATCCTGGTCAAACGATGTGCATTGGCAATAAATATTATTTGTTTACGATTGAAAATCCAAATTGTTAAAGTGCCATTTTGTGATAGGCTATGCTGAAAGGTTTAACTGCTTTATTTTTAAAAAGGTTGAAAATGTGTAATCGATTATATTATTACTTTTAGGTATTTCTAATGCGGGTAGGTATTCTTAAATCACAATTAAATCTCAAATATTTTCTAGCAACATTATTGTGCACAAATTACTCACATTAACCGTTATTGTCATTATGTTACCATTGATGTTATGTTGACTAGAACTTTTCACATGTCGTACTTAAGTTATGTAAGTAGGTAATGAACATAGAACTAAGCTAAACACGAACCCACAATTTTGACAATTAGCTAAACATAATGTTTAGTTACATAAAAACTCCAAACATTAGTGCATGATTAATTACATCTCAGCCACTAACTCAACTGTTTTTATTACTAAAGAAATAATTAGGCAATGCTTTCTGCCCACAAACTTGCCAAAATTTCTATTTACCAGTATCTGTTTTCGGGTACCTACCTAAACCTAAGGCCTAGTTTCCACCAAAGCGGAGAAGAAAAGATATGTGTTTGAATAAGTATGGACAATACCATATCAATAGGTAATGTGCTATGTTGCATAAAAAAGTCTGATGTGATGTCTTCTTTAGGTAGGTACATGATATCTACTTACCTATTTAACTATTTTCAATAAGTTATAACAGATTTAAACCTAAAAGTAAAAAAAAAATATTTTTTTGCTTTGCTGAAGTATAATAGTCCCTACCCTACGGACCAAAAATAATTATTTGCTGCAAAATTCGACTGTAACTAAATGAGACGAGACTCTTTGGCGTGGAAAAACATCATTATTTAAATGAATACGATTGTAATATTTTAATTAATAAGCTTAATAAATTGTGTAATGTTTGAACCATAATTTGCATAAACATAGCGAAATTTTCGGCATTATAAGTCAGTCTCTCATTGGCGTAAATTACAATTTTTAAAATAATTCTCAATTATTTAATGATCAATCTTAGGGAAGCTCAACCTAAACTTAGGGAAAATTCCCGGTAAAAGCTTGACAATTATTTTGTAAACAGAATACATTTCCTCTGAAAAAATATAGGTAAAATGATTTTA